GTGATCTCATGCTTAAGATGTTATCAGACAATCAGATAGTCGTATTAGCCTTCTAGACATTACTTGAGACGGTTTTGAAATTAAGAACGAACTGTGCGTGCCGGCCTAAGAGGTCAAAAGATCATTGAACGTGAGATCGTAGTCTATTTCGTATCAAGAAAGCGACAGAAACTTTCGTGAGAATTTCCAATTCTTAAAAAGGGACTGAACGAGAAGAGAGGAATACAGTTATCTTCGTGTAACGAAATTAATCCAAGTATAATAACGAAAACAACAATAATAATCATTAAGTGCCACTTGGAAAAAACAATGTTAACTTAGCAAATGACATTACGTTATGTTAAGTTCAGGTATACAAAAATGCGTCTTGGGCGAGGGACAATTATAGAGATAATTAAATAATACATTAACAAATTAAGATAAGTAGATGTACATAAAAAAGAGTCGATAGATAGCGTGGTGAATGATGTGCTCATGAGCACGAATCAGTTTACGTTTAGACAAAAATTGTTAGAATAATATTTTTACGATGCATTAATATACATATATAACGCTGTTTTGGAAAGAATACGGTATAGAAATAAAACTATTTTTTCTTTTTTAAATGCAAGTCATCTTTTATGTGTGATGCTCTTGCGGCTGTCATGTTTGGTTCGTCAATTGAATGAAATTTAACGATTTCTGAATATTTCGTATTGAAATATTTAAAAATGACCGGAATTATCTCATTCGTCTGATATAATGATATACTAATCGTCGATAATAGGAGTTCTCCAATTAATCATTATTTATGAAAAGTTAAAAAGGAATTATTAAATTTTTTGAAAAAGTTCATACAAATAGACAACAAATTTTTTTTTCTGAAAATTTTACAATTTTGAAAAAAATCATCTTGTAAAAATGAGTTTTTACATAAGAAATTCGATGTCATTGTAAAAAAAGTCTTCACATCAATTTAAAAAACATTTTTAATCTTAGAAGATCTAAGAAAGTCTCTTAGAAAGTTTTTCAAATACTCTTTCGTTAATTTTTGTTCAATGATATTTTATCAAACTAGCTATACAGCGCTATAAAATAAAACAAAAATATTAACAAAATATAAATTTTCAATTTTAAGTAAGGAAACGTAGGAAAGAATATTGTATAAAAATAAAATTTTTCATGAAATAAGCGAGATGAGAGTACCAAGTGGAAACGCGGAAAAGAGGTAACAATACTCTCTAAATTTCGTGAAGTGAAAAAAAGTGAAAATTTGCCACTCTTGAACAAGAATGATAGTATTTTCACTCCTTTTTCAAGATTGACTCAATTATCAGTCTCTTCAAGTGAGATTTCACTCCACGAGGTTTAAAGAGTAAATTTGATACTTTCAAGTTTTTAAGTGTCAGGTGATTTAAACCTGTAATCCTAGGAGACGCATTCAAATTTCCACCCAAGCGTTTCCAAGGTATCATGTTATCCTTGTTTAACATTTGTGAATAAAAAAATAAAATAATACCGGATGCCTTTCGTTTCATGCAGTACTCATTATATGTTGTGTCGTTCATGATGCATCTTTTATCCTTGTTCTCCGAATGTTAAACGAAGATAAATCATACGTTATATGTAACAGAATATACTTCTAGATCGCGCGATTTTTTTAACGAACGCGTGTTCTTCACCTTCTTTTACGCATGTGTAGATGTCCACTAGTCATATGACTTCTTAAACAGATTCGCATTTAAACAAAATGTAAAATATATTATGATTTTGTTTTTATTTTTATCTGTCTGATAATGAAAATTTTTTTAAGTTGTAATGAATAATATAACGAAATATTACTAAATTACATAATGAAATTTGTATCAGAGTTAACTCATTTTTAGCATTTTATTTTATTAAGATTTCATTATGATCTTAATAATTCAATATGATACGTTTTAAGATTATAAAGAATTTAGTAAAATAAAAATCAATGAACGCAACTATGAATTTAATATTGAGTTATTCATATTGCAGGGACTATTTTTTTATTATAATCCAGAGACTATTTAGGGCAATCCCATGGATTATTAAATAAACGCCTCATTATGTCTTACATACCTCTATTGAAATCAAATACATCTATTCAAATCCGTAATGTTTGGAACAGTTCTATTATTTTGCAAGATTGAAGTATTTCACAAAATATTATATTTATTAGCTTCGTCCGTACAAAAAAAAATCTCTTATTAAACAACATGCAAAAATTCATGCATAATCATTTACAAATATAAAAATATGACATGCCTACTCGGCTGATGGTCTGAACTTTCCAGTAAATGAGAATAGATTGAAATGGATTGAAATGGATTCAGATTTTCAGAAATACGCATTCGCGAACGTTAAAATAAATCCTTTACAATTCGAATGTATTTTTATTCATTTATAGGAATTACATTTCTATGCCTTTTTCAATTCAAAATTCTGAGTAGGAAACGTAAAAATTTTTCAAACCGATTTAATCCAGTTGGATTGAAAAAATTGCATTGCTTATTCAGAATTTTTAATTCAATTAAATCCAATTGAATCTTTTTTAATCCATTCTCATTTACTGGATTGAACAGAACACAATGTATGCTTCTACGGTTATCACACTCCTGGTTTGAAAGAAGTGTAACGATAAGTTTTATATAGAAATATTAAAAATGACTGGGATTATCTCTTTTGTTTGACGCGATAATTTATCAACGTCGACAATGGAAGTGTTCCAGTAGGAGACATCGATATAGAAATTATTCTGTTTCCATTCGTTTTCACTGAAAGAGTTAAGAATATCTTTAGTATCGATATATATGCTTTTGCCGCAAAGCTCTTTATGCAAGGTCAAATCTATTCTAGAACGAATTTTCGTCATGCTTCGCAAATCGAAGCCATAGAGTTCCTCAAGATAAGAGTTTGGATACGATTAGACTCTTGCTGCATATGTTTCAAGCAATCTATAAAGGAATTTATTATATCTTTCATCGATTTATTTATTTTCGGTAAAAAATTTTTCATGCATGAATATATATAAATATACATAAACATGCACAAATATTCATAAACATATATAATTATATATGAAATACATGTTCATACTTATTTCTCTTTCTTTTGTAAAATTACTTTTTAGTAATAGAAATAATAATAGTAATGTGAAAACAAAAAATAATTAAAGGGATAATTTTTGCATAGTTTATTTTAGAAAAAAAATAAGTTTGGAAAAATGTAAAAAAAATTGCTCGTACATAATTATGCATAATTTTATATAGAATTGTACGTAAATAATTTTTTTACAGTTCTTCAAACTTAACTTTTTCTAAAATAAATAGTAACTTGATTTTTTCTAAAACAAATGTGAAAATTACTTTTTTAATTATTTTTTAATGTTTTCACATTACTATTATTATTTCTATTACACAAAAAAGTAATTTTACAAAAAAAAGGATATACGAACATGTATGGACATATTTCATATATAATCATACATGTTTATGAATATTTGTGTTATATATGTTTATACATATTTATACATATTCATGATAAATTTTTTACCGCTATAATAATTTATTTATACGTATTACTAATAAATTATATGGATATTATGCTATTTCTTTTAATTAATATAAACCTTTCGGGCAAAAATCGATCTATTTCATTCTTTATTTTTAGACTACGCAAATTATTACGATGAAATTTATTTTCAAGTATTAGGTCATTTAAAAAGTATCCGCGGTTTTTTGTTCAATTTTTTAATGAAAAAACCGCGGATACTTTTTAAATGACCCAATATTATCGCTATCTGAGCTTAATTAATTAACTAGTTGCGCTAGTTTAAATAATTATATAAATAATATAAACAAGTTTTAAGAAATTAATTTTTTTTATGAACATATTGAGACGTATCAACTATATATATGTTGCATAAATCTTGCATAGGTCTTTTAGACATCTTTTAGATATAAAACATCTAAAAGACGTCTTTTAGATACCTTATGCAACATAAATGTCTGAATAATTACGTTAGAATCGCAATATGAGGATAACTTTTGAACAGACCTGGCAATATTGTTTGAATCGAGTTTTAGTATCTAGAAGATTATTAAGAATGTACATCTAAAAGCAATACAAAAATATAAAAATTTCATCGATTATTTTATTATATTATTACAACTGAATATTGCGTAAAATTTGAGCAGGATTTTCTTATTGGTTTAAAAATTAATTTTTTTTTGTTTTGTTTTTTTATATAAGATGTTTAATACTTAATTGCATGAATTAACGAGGAAATAATATTATAAAAAAAGAATTAAATAAAATTTTATACATATATTAATAAAGCAATAATAAATGTTTGTGCAAAAGTTTATTTGGATTCATGCACTTATACTCGTTTAAAAATTGTTGATCTAAAACTACAGCAAAAATATTGTTATTTTGTTGCATAAAACTATTACAATGTATAAGTCGAATTATTTGTTTTCTTTTTTTTGCAGTTGATATCAAGATGTATTCACAACGAATTAATATATTATTAAAATTTTTTAAATTTATTAGCTTGTTTTGACTGATTCTTTTAACGATATCGTATAGCCAAAAATATCCTTAAACTCGATTTAATTTATTCTTTATCTTTTTTTAGTTCTTGGAATTAAAAGAAAATAAAAGTAAATTAAACTAAAATTAATTTGCATTGATAGAATTAGGCCTATAAGAATTCGATCGCCATCGATCAATAAAACGTTCGAATGAAAGATTACTAAAAAAATTTTCATGAATATGTATAAATACGTATAAACATACATACACGCATAAATATGTTTATACATATGTTATACATATGTATATTTATACATATTCATGCATGAAAAATTTTTTACCGGAAATCTTCAAATTTAGAAGAAAATCCCCAATCTGGCGATAGTGGACTCGAAGGTTTTTGAAAAGCGCACCGTTATTATCTAGAAAATGGCGGATGGTGGTGTCCAAACTAACAAAGGACTCTACGAGGCCGACGGATGAAAACTGCAGGGGATCGTGTCAAGTTACGTGTCGCGTCGGGGACGTCGGGGTTAACCAATGAGAATAATAAGCATGCACAGTGCATTCCGACTTGTTCGACACTTGCGACTTTGTTCAGCACTACTGAATTACTCAGGTAGTCGATGAACGGCCTTTGGTTGGAGTGCATGTTATTTTATTCCGGGTTTGTTTTCGGGTCGTCGTTGTCGAATAGTCACGCGTGTTTAACGGACCGGGATACGTTATGGGATCCTGATAGTACACGTGAATACTCTCGTCCGAAGACAGCAAGTGGTTCTTAACTGCAAGGTAAGTTCTCTTGCGAATATGAGAAATCAGGTCTACTGTATCTCCATCGCGCGGCTCGAATTCCGGATTATGTAAAGGCGGGCGCGTGCACATCTTTCGATAATATATCTTTTTCGTAAAAGAAGAGACCGAAATGAAGGAGAAACCGGAATGCTAAAAAGTCGCATGAATGACGTATCGAATGATAATCCTTTGACCTTTTCGTGAGATGCAATACGTCAACTGATAATATTATCTCTTTGCTTCCTTGTTAGTATTAAATTCAGAAATATCTCTTCATTTTTATTTCGCATACATATAATAAATTTTATTTGTGTAAATGTGTACATCCAATATACGTATACTGTATATATATGATAGTCTGATTTAATATGCAAATATATCGATATTATTCATATGTGTATTTCATATTTGTATATACAAAGTGTTCAGTAAGTTTTGACAAAGTGCTTGTGTGTAAATAGAACGGACTAAATTGAATCGAAAAGTCCTCTATCACACTTTTTACAATTTTCGCAACAGTTAACAATTAAGATATTAATTTATTAATTACTAAAAATTGCTGAATATTAATTTTCAATAATTTTTTATTCAAATTTTTTACTATTAACTTTACCGAAGAATAACGAGAGACAAAAATTGTTTATCTTTTTCTCTTAAAATTCTGAGAATTTTTTCAGAATTTTTTAATATCATATTTTCTCATGTCATTAATAAAAATGGTTGCCAATATAAGAAAATGCAGTATTAAAAAGTTGAAAAAATTCTGAAAAAACTCTTGGAGTTCTATGAGAAGAAAATAAACAATTTTTGTCTCTTGCAGTTTTTCTGTAAAGTTAATAATATTTGAGAAAAAAAATTATTGAAGATCAATATTCGGCAATTTTTAATAATTAATATCTTATTAATTATTGCGAAAATTGTAAAATGGTAGAGAACTTTTCGACTCAGTTTAATCCGCTCTATCTACATAAAAGCGTTTGGCAAAAAATTTCGGAACCTTATATATGTATATGTACATATATGAATAATACGAGTATGAATAATATTATGTATAAATATTATACACATAAATATGAGAACAATATATTAGTAATATATTATATACATATTATATATATAATATTAGATATATATTGATATATATATTGTGTTACATTATATTACCCAGCAACACACAAAGAGAGTTAAAAAAAAATTTAAATAACATTGAGTCGTATTCTCGTTTGACCTTGATCGGTCTGGTCTAATGACTTAGGACGCTCGTATGGAACACAAAAGATTCGAATTCAAGTCCCGGCCAAGGTAATATTTTTCGCAATAAATTTATTTAAGTTATTAAAGTTTATATAAATTTATTAAAGTTTTTCAGCACATTAACATCCTTCTAATATGATACCAGATTGAACATCAAAATTTGCTTGTCAATTTAATTTAATTTGTTATATTATTCATTATTAGTATTAAATTCAGAAATATATTTTAATTTTTATTTTGAATAAATATTAGGTGTTGGAATTAATTCGTAGCGTTTTTTAATGAAAGAATGTTATTTATTTCACATGAGCATTAAAAAATACATTAATGAAAGTACTTTCCATCACTTGTAAAACGCTACGAATTAATTCCAACGCCTAATATAATAAATTTTATTTGTGTAAATGTGTACATATATTTGTGATAGTAATTTAATTGCGTTTGTAAGTCCGTAAAAAATTCGGTGCACAATTTGAATAGCTACAAAATATGGTACATATGTATGTATGTATATAGTATACGTATAATTTACTTTTGAATTATTTAAGCATGAAGAGATCTAGCTTCGATCGTTATATTTGAATATGCTTAGTATTTAATTCAGTCGTATGTCATTATTTCTGAGTTCATTTTCAGATGCAAAAGAATTTTTCTGTAAAGTTCTAAAAACAATTCTTTTTGCAGCTGAAAAAGACCTAAAATTGATGACATACGACTGAATTAATTTTTTTGAAATTCTCTTTTAACTTTGTACTATCATACATGTTGTATAAATATATTTAATATTAATAAGTCACAAAAAAGTACGAAAAAATTAATTTTCAAGATGATACATTAAGAATAAAAGCACGATTTAAATTTACAAGACAACAGGTGAATCGTTTGAATTTATATATTGTGACCTTTTATAAAGTCTTGATGCTTCCATGTTGTATTTATTAATTTGATATGTACAAATATATTTATCTGTTCGATGATTTCTTAATATCTCTTAGTCTTTATTCTATTCTGCGCTTTACTTTGTCTTTTTATTGTTATTTTATTAACAATGTAAGTTTTTAATTAATTTTATATTTGACTATGACAGTTTCATAGCGAAATTCATATCTCAGTTTAATATTCGATTTATGATTTATGTATTTTTCCGAAATACGCTAAAGACTTTTGATGACATTGCGTCTGGACATTAGACTTACATTGTTTTCTATGTTACACAACGTTCTGTATGTATTCATTTTAACAATTCTACTAACCTTATTGTAAGTTTAAGTAAGCGGAGTAATTGTTTTGTTAATTTATCAATGAAAAGTTAACGGAAAAGGACCCAAATTAAATCCAAGCATCCTTCTGTATTTTTATTTTATTAATATATTTTATTTTATTTCATTAATAATTTTATACACGATTATTGTCGGCTTGCACAGGCTTTCGCAGGTGCGAATTTTGAAACACCCTGTATATATATGCATATACTGTGTATTCGATGTAGAATTGATCGAGAGACAATAGAAATCTCATATAAATATATTCGCACTTAATTAATATAAAAACAATTATATGATTAAACATTACAAAAATATCATATGCGATATGCGACTATTCATTAATATATCGACGTCGATTCGATCAATAGAGAATATATATGTTAATTTTTTATAATTAATTATAATATTATATTTTTTAATTATTATATTATATTAATATATATGTGTTAGAATTATCAATGTATATTCATTAATATTCAATAGTTATTTATCATTATAAAAATTTTACGAATGCAAGAGTGAAAAAATAACAGAGAGAATAAATATTTTTCCTTGAAAGTGAAATCTGTAAATAGTATAAATGATTCAATTTTTTCCTCGATTTGATTTGCGTAAGAATATTCATCCGGTTTAAGAAGCTGCGAAATTTGCAAGACACATTTACTTACTTTCAGGATTTTTAACTGCTATGGAGCTCACTTTTGCCGAATATCGCAAAATTAAATCGAATCGCCGAATTTTTAAGTCTGCACGATTTGGCACGTGTTCTAAAACAAGGAATTCTCGAAGATGTTGCTCGAAAAGAGACATATCCTTGAAGATAAAGATCGTCCCATCTCGATGCTTTTCATTGTGTTTTTCCATGACGATGGATTGTACTTTTATTACTGTTCTACAATAGGATCGCAAACTATAACCGTAAGAAATTAATCAATGGTTGCGTTCAACAGAGAAAGCAGCTCTACAACTGATGTCAAATTCTTCAATTGACCCTTGCTTTTAATTCCTTACATAGATTTAAATGTATAAACCAATTATATTGAAGAATTTTATAACAGTTAGATATCTATTGTCTCTGCTGAACGCAGCCAATCATAGTCGATTATTTTTTTTGTATTCAACTGTGGTTGGTCAATTTTTTACGGCTTACGACTTGCGATCTTATTGTAGAACAGGCAATAGGACAGACAAAATTTGTCGCAAACAAAATTTCTGTGACAATAACCGTAAGATGTATCACAAGAATCAACCAATCAGAGAAAAGAATTTTTGACAATTCTAGACTGTGATTGGCTAATTTTTAGGATACATCTCGAGATTACTGTTACAGAGAGTGTGTGCAGCTCTTATCAGTGACTACATTCCGCAGTATCACGTGTATGATATATCTCGTGTTACCGCATGAATCGCGAGAATCTCAGTGAGTCAGCGACTTTGTCATTAGCAACGTCCCGGTTAGTCACGGACTTGAACGAAGTTACAATGCCGAATGATAGAGCCGTTTCATCGTTAAAGCGAAAAAAGAATACGCGCATATATGTGCGTAGCAACAAAGTCCCGAAATTATTTGCTTTTCAAAGATACAAGCGAGCAATTTGGTTCCATTACGATGACACTTTATACATATACATATATCGAGATAGTGTAAGGTATTGAATTGGAGACAACTAAATTAAAATTTAACTTTAAATGCAAAATGCCACTATGGACTGAAGATGTTGAACTATTATATATATTCATATAAATGAATTATTTTCAGAAATGATAATTGCGTGCCGATATAGTCGTACAGAGGTATAAACGATTCTTTTTCGAATGCTGTTGGTCCCATTTCGATATCTTTTAAAATGGTCGACTTCCCCTCTTGGCGCATTTCCGAAGTTTTGTATCCCAAATCGCTGTATCTCCAAACTCTTTGAGGTACAAACGAAAGTAAGAGAGGTACAAACGAGTATAAACGATTCTCTTTCGAATGGCATAAATGAAATTAAAAAATCTTAAAGTTGCGCGCTGGTCATTTTTTATTTTTTACTTTTTGTTTAACTGTTTGAGATACAAACGAAATAATAATCGGTATAAACAAGTAAAGGATGTTTTTTTAAGAACTTGAAATTGTAAAAAATAAAACAAAAAATTAAATTAAACAGCCGCGGTGGCCATATGCCCGAAATCATTTTCAAATGTTAATGCCATGCATTGGTCTTTCGATTAAAAAAAATTTTTTGATTATAATTTAATTTTTGTATTAGTTTTTACAATTTTAAGTTCTATCGGGCTTAAAAAAATCTATCGGGCTTAAAAAAACACCCTGTACAAACGAAGTACAAACACCCTATTAATTTTTATTTTTGATAAAGTTGGGCATCAGATTCACATTGGTAAAATGAGGATCAATTATTTTATCATTTCGACTCAGACGTTTATAAACCAAGGTCTCTGTCCACTTCTCTCATCCAATGTGGGTTTTCTACTGACCAA